AAAAAAAAAGTTAATGTTTTCCAGATTTTTTAAAATAAATTTATTCATTTAAATCAATTGTCTACGTACTTTCGGCCTGTAAAGAGTTTTAATTTCTTCCAATATTTCTTACGTGCGTCTTTGTATTTCCATGACGTATTCCACGGGAATTTTGTTCTTCCATTAGATATATAAAACGTTCAGTGTATTTACCTCAGCTCCTCATCTTCTCCGAAAACGTCTGGATCTTGCTTCTACCTTCCTCAAAAGTAATTTTTCACATATTTATTTACTTATCGCCAAAACAGTTAAAAACTATGTGTATCCTACTATAGAGAGAAATGTATTTTGTGCACGTTTTCTTAAATTCTGCGATCCACACCCTAACTCTTATAGAAGTTAAATTCTATAGACTTATTGTAGAGAATTATATAGTTATTCTGAAGACAGAAGTGGGTCTGTTTGGAAAAAAAATGATAAGAATATATTCGCTCCCATGTAATATAAAATTGCAAGGCAAATCAACCAAAGTTTGGGCTATTATCCGTCATCGTGCATTTCGTGAAGAAATCGGATTATCGCCATGAGAATACGGCGTACTATTATTTGAATAACTATATTTTTCACTGAATTCTAGAAAAAGTGCACAGATAGTGAAGATATAGTGAAGTATATGTCCAGAAGCAAAACAAGGGGCCATGTCACGTGTTGAGGACATATCGTTTACGTACGTACTGAAGAAAATGTTCTGAAAATTCTTGTTTGTGTGCATTCCGGGCATCGTGTTTTCAAAATTCACCCACATAAGCCTAGTCAGCGACAACGCCCACTCCAGTCGCCGGCTGTTTTTCGACTCCACAACAGTCGTTTCTCAAAAGAAACAAATAGCTGTTGTCAACTATGTTTGAATTCAAACCAGTGGCAGCTGGTACCTTTAATTAATAGAGGGTGGCTGTAAGCATAAATAGAAAATGAATTGAGATATGTTCAGTACTGGTGTAGGTCTAACGAGGACACTTCTTGAAGAGTTAAGCTTCTAAATTTCACTGTTTTTAAATATTTAAGAGAATTACTATTCGTATCCATTCTAAACACGAACTAGTGGTGCTAAAACAGCACGTACTTTCTCACCCGTACTTTCACGCGAATATACGCGCTAAGTACTCATTTTCGAAAAAGTGTACATGACCTTATTTCAAAATATATCTTTAAGGAACAGATTTCACTAAGGAAAAATATCTGCATCATCAACATTTTAGTGTAAGGAAAACTCCGAAAAAATGTTGAACTTTTGCAATTTTCGAAAAATCAGGCTTTTTAACGAAACTGAGACCAGCGCCATTCTCTTAAACGCTCTTCGCACTATCCAATAATTCCCGCAGCCCCGTAGCCCTCTCTCACCAGCCATCACTGATGCAAACACATTTTATTTAAATAGAAAGAAGTCCACCAAAATTCATTACAGAACCTTTGTGTACTAACTTATATACAAAAATACTCGTATACTGATGTATAAACATACGTATACAAAATCCTTCTCAAAGCCGTTTCTTTAAAAAATATGACAATTTTAGCCGGTTGACATCCCAAAGAACGTTCATATTTAGCACCACTCGCAGCACACAGAGTAAACTCATGAACATTCCGTATTGTTCGTATCTTAAACATGACAATAAACTCCTGCCATAAAATAACAGTTTGTTTAAATATGTCTAGCTCTCTGTCCGATTACTACAGCGGTGAACGATATTCAGTGAATTGTTATTCCGAGAATAAAAAAGGGGAGATCTGATTTCAGGGAGCGTATGCCAATTCCTCGTTATTAGGAAACTAATAATTAGCCCTGTTCCCTTAAGGTTACAGTGGCCGCGCAAACTTTCTAAAAAGTTCACAAATGTACGGAAGTTGCGCGAAACGATTGGTAAACTTGGAAAAGAAAAATTGAAATAATTTGTAAAACTGAAACTGTAATGCGTAGCTTGAACAAAGGTTACAGATGATTGTGAATAGAATTGCTCTTAAAAAGAAGTCAGTGTTAATCCCTTACACGACTTTCGTAAAGAGCTCTCTTGAGAGCCTACAGAAGCTTTCTTGCGCACGGCTGCTCAAATGCAAGAATAGGAGCCAGACTGCGCGCGGCCTTTAGTTGCCTGCGCGCCAGTGTCCTGAGTCGAGTGCCTGCCCTCTCTTCCTCCTAACCACGAGCTGGCTAGACAAGCAAACGGCTACTCTGGTTGCACATAGCACTGCGCTAGGGCGCATCAAGTGGCCTGCTCGTTTGAGCAGCGTTGTTCTACGTCAAAGGTCGGTAAATCAACCGTTCTCTCTCTATGCTATTCCAGGTAGCTGGCGGACGTTGCTATTTTGATTTCTGATTATCACTGCGCGAAGACAGCGCATAATAACGTGAGCGTTCACTGCTCATCCCAATGGGACAATCATGATGCTTGCCGTCCGGATGGTCGAGACTGTAGTGTCGTAGCGATCTCGAACTGAAGGATCGCGGATTCGCGTCCCGCCTCGGGCATGGTTGTATTTGTGTTCGTCCTTTCACTCCGTATCATGTCATCTTCACAGTTACCATAACATTAAATCCAATAGTGGTCGCTAATGACCTCGATATTGATGCGACCTTAAATAACCCTTATATTTTCTTCAGGTAAGTGAATACCGTATTTTAAATATATGCACTAATAAATGTATTCTTAGAGTGCAAAATGACGCATCAGAAATTCGTAAAATAATTCTTTAAGTTTCATGAAAATGATCTTTCGAATGATTTTGAAACCATAACGAATGGTTCATTTTATTACCTCGTATTTCGCAGATGTTTTGTGGGTAACTAAGTAACTCACATTCATCCGTAGGTTGGCGACGTCTCGTCGCCTGTACAGACTCAGCCAATTACGCAGCAATGAATTTAGATGAAGTTGATTGTGACCATTTACAGATGCATAAGCCCCTACTAAATACCTCGTAATTGTGCCGTCTACGATACTAAGCCAATTATTTATTTTTCTGATGGCTTCGGCTATGATAGATCAGAGCATCGCCGGTGCGTCCCGACGATATTGGTATTTCGCCAGTAACTAGATAGCTCAACCACTGTGAAGAATTCTAGAGGCTGGCTGTTCGTATTAGTAGTTTGTCGAGATTTCTCTGATCATTACCAGGTGAATGCCGGGCGAGTACCCTAAAACATGAGTCAATGACCGCGCGTTTTCTTCAACACTGTGGTCTTCTTCTCCCCTTGCATAACATTGCTGTTACGTACTCATACTACGAATATCGGGGTGGTAGAGCTTGTCTCGATTGGGGTGGTGCCGCCACTAGTCCCGTCAGTACCTTGCAGGAGGAAACTACCGACGGTACCCGACCTTACATTCTAGATAGGAAGGAATACCGCCTCATCCTGGTATATAACATACCACTAGGGATGTAATGACCTTAGTAATTGCGTCCGGAAATAATAGTTGCTTCCGCACAAAGCTTCCAATTAAAGTGATGTAGTAGGTAGAGCGCGTTGCTAATGCTTTGTATTTGCGGCAGTCTCCGACCAAATTTCTTGCCGTTTCGCCTGTCGCGACATGCGGCGTGGAGTGTAGGTGGTTACTGCAGGAATAGCGTGTGTCACAGGTGGATAAGTAATGTTGCATGTTTGAGAATACGTATTGAAATAATCAGAATTGCCAAACCATCCTATAAGACAAACATTGTGTCATAACAAAAATTGTATTAATGTATTTCAACGATATTTAGCGGTGCTCTTTCCTTCCATACTTATTGCAAAGTTGTCGGAGTCCCGCAGGCCCCAGGTTTTATAAGCGAAAAATTAGAATATACAATACGTGATTAGTTAAGTGAATTCAAAGCACTGTATTGGGAAAAAATAAAAGCTCGTTCTTGGTGTCCATCATTTTCTTCCATTTCTGTTCTTTCTTCCCTTTCTTCTTCTATTCCGTCATGTTCTTCTCCGTCTTTTCGTCTGTTTCTGCAGTTGTGCTTCTCCTCCTCCTCTTACGTCTGCTGGGTGCCGTTGTACTTTGAATGTCGGATTTCAGAAGTCGCTGCAACCCGAAAGAGTGTAGCACATCAATGTCAAGCGGGGTTGACTAATAAAACAATTAAATAGTTTATTTCAGAAACCCGTAAAACGCCAAATTTTTCATTTCGAGAAAACTGAGAATAAATCTCCCAATTTTTCAAATTTCAAAAAATTGTTTTTTATTAAAGGAGTTAATAAATGAATAATTTTTCATATAAACATGCACCAAGCTCAGCGATTATCCTCCTGGAACAGTGTGTTTTACATTTTGGCGTTTGACGGGTTTCTGAAATAAACGATTCAATTGACGAGCGACAGCAATTTGCCGTGCTGACCCAAAATTAACCGAATAGCCAATAAACGAGTTGTAAACTACGACACGGCGACGATGCCTTCAAAATATCATCATTGATGTTCCATTCCCTAATAGTCCCGAAGCGTGCTGTCCCAAACTGAGCCTGCCCGCGGGCGTGCGGAGCCTTTAAACTCCCATGTAAGATAGTGGAAACCATTACAGTGGCGTGCTCTTCTGCAGCACCTTGTTATAGGAACTCTCTTAGAGCTCCTTAGAAATACGAACCGCTGCCAACGATACTTAGAACGTGCGTGGCTGCTGCGTGAGTTCGCGAGATGCAAGCTGTCACGTAATGTTACAAAATATAGCGTCGATGTTCGCGCTTTCTTTCAGGGATTATATTATATATATATATATATATGATATATATATATTATATATATATATATATATATATATATATATATATATATATATATATATATATATATAATATGAATAATAGAACATTTATAAGACACTTTTCATATTTCTCACAAATTAGCCGATTTTTATGGGCGGAAGGGCGAGCCTAACCTGCATCTGCACGCAGCGACACTAGCGCCTTCTATAGTAGCACCTTGCAGCTTTGTCCCCGGTTTTGACGGAGAGCTGAAAGGCCCGCGGGCGTGTGTGCCGCAGGTGCAGAGACGATGCGCGCGGCGTGGAGCGGAGCGGCGGTGGCGGGGAGGCGCGCTGTTGCTGGCGCTGCTGCTGGCGGCGGCGGCGACGACGGCGGCGCGCCGAGCTCTACACGGCGCTGGTCGAGCTGGAGGAGCTGCTCGGACGGAGGCCGTGCTCATGACGGAGCTCGAGGGCTACATCGCCGCGCAGGAGGAGAAGCTGCGCGTCCTCAAAAGGTAACGAGCGAGCGAGAAAACTGGCGGTGTAAATGCGTTTGTAACCAATGCGCATTATTGTGATGTTGCGATTTGTTTTTATATCCCACAAATGTTTCGGACATCTTGTGAAACCAGCTGTTCGGTAAAAGAAACGTGGGAGATTCCAACTTCGCAATTTTGAGCGATCCTTAGTTGTCGAAAGTTCACAAGCTTTACTGAAAATCGGACTTGCAGTGAAGGCATCGATACCTCCTCGTTAATGATGGAAAGTGGCAATAACAGGTCGATCAATAATCTCAATAATCTGGTCGATCGAGGAACTTAATCTCGCCGTAATAGATTATTTAGTGCATTGAAGTACGACACAGTGATTATTTGAAAGGAAAAATATTCATTTTAGGAATAAATCTATAATAATATGCAACGACTATTAACTTTTTTGTTGGAAGATGCTGAGGTAACCAAGTACCTAGTATTTAATTATATACATGACAATAATAGGCAAATCTGGGCAGACGAATAAATTATTCCGTGTCAATAAATCTACTGAGTATCAAAGTGTGAAATAGTATTTATTTAAAAATGAAAATATTTAAAACTTAAACTCATAAATTTAAAATATTACAATTTAAACCTACAACTTTAAAGGATACAAAATATCCTTAAAAATGATATATTAACTTTAATTTTGTGGAAAACTGTTTGAGCGCTGAAGCGCGATGAAAAACTGTGACTTGGCCCTCTGGGCAAAAGAATAGCTATCTTCTGCCCTCCTATCTCACTGTAGCTCTCTAATTTCACTGTATCATGCTAAAAACAAACGTGAACGAATTAATAAAATTAAGTGATTAACTTTCCAATACTCGCAGATTCAGTAGGGACGTTTCTATTTACGCGAAATATCTGCAAAACCAAGTCTTAGGTAATCAAAATATGATAGAAACAAGAAAAGTGCAGAGACAATACGTTCTGTACAGTACAATATGTTCATCGAATATTTGCCAACTATACGTTTCGTCACTATGTGTCAAATCATGACGTAAATGAATATAACTTAAGAAGAAATTTTGGGTATGAAACAAAAATAATGAACCAAACAATCGAATTTCATTATTGTATTTATACCATCACTAAATGTTTAATGAATTACCTGCACTTTTGAAAAATGTGTTAAATATTCTTTTATCTTGAGCGAAACCGTTTATTTCGAGACTAAATACAATATGTTTCACTTCATTTTGCGGCTGACTTATTGATAAACAGTATACGTTTTTTCCTAGTGAAAATACTCATATCGTAAATTTTCTGTGGTGAACAACTGTGTGACCCTCATCAAATATTTGCTTGCCTTTAATATCTTTGAAACAAAGCTGAATACCCAGAGGAATGCATTTTTGTTTTCAATATCGTGATAGCATTGCATTTATTATCCAAGTCCAATTGTGTGTATGTTTCAGCCTCGTTAAGGTTGGGATCTGTTCGAGCTCTATTTAGACAGTAAAATGTAAAGGCGTCTGTCATACTCGTAGAACGGTAGATAAGAAAAATAAATAGATTTATGTAAATCTTTTTTACAAAGCACGTGCCAGTAAAGTTTAATAGACAGAGCTTTGAGAAAAGGACATTAAAGAGTGAAATACTAACGAGCCTTGCCTCTGAAGAATTCTCCAGCACATTTATCAAGTTGTAGCTTGACTTTAACGTTTGAAAGGAAGATTCAAAGACATCACACGTTATATTTATCTTTGTAAAATCATTCACTTGGAACTACCCTGCGTTCCTCCCTCGTGCATTGAAACTGTGGCTGCTCCTGCTACATAGTTCCTCCCTTTGTAAAAATCCACGACATGAGGTCCTATTTTTCTTGCGTGTTCCGTCATGGATGAATAGTCGCGAGTCCACAGGCAACGAATAACCTTCGTTTCGCGGTTCAGATGAATATGATCTGCATCAAATATCAGTTTGTGAACAGCATTTTTATGATCGAATTCTGTAAAGTACATTTGGATTAAAAAGACTAAAAAAATAACAGCTGCTATTGTTTCTTCCTTGGCACATACAGAAATTGAAAGGCAAAAAATAATATTATGTATTATCACGTAATTGTTTACATTATTTTTGAAGTAAAAAGTCATTTGATTAAGATATGACTAATTTAATTGCACGTTCGATATAAAAATTAAGAATAATAGGAGAAAAATAGTTTTTGTCGGATTAAATTTATAGCCAGAGTAATTCATCAAATATATTTGCATCTCCTTATGAAGAGTTTGCTGGAGAATAAAGCTACCTATGTAACATTCATGTAATTGTGTACTTCTCAGCCCACTGAATATGTTTCTCAAATTAATTTATGGATAGGTTCCTGGAATAAGAATATCATACGGCATTTTTGATTACCCTTTCCGAGAAATCAGAAAAAATGTGGGGAACCAGCGTAAATTTTGGAGTCATGTCTCAATTCCCCACTTCAATATTCGCACTCGTTTTGTTTCATACTACCGGCGGTGTTAGTAGATTCGAAGTTGAATTTTAATTCACGCCCCTTATAAATTCTACATGTACACGTGCTTCTATATGTAACGTTGTATTACTTAATTGTATACATGCTTAGTTTTGTGGATGCAAGTTTTCGAACTTGTAAACGTGCAAACTTGCTTCCTAGTAGTGCCCTACGCCTGGAATTATTGGTAAATTACTAAGTACTTAGTACTACCAAACTTTTAACAACAGTAAATAATTATTATTCAGTTAGTCCCAATGATTTGGGAAATATTTTTTCTTGTTCAAAGAAATCTTACAAATGATGATCCGAGAACAGCGATGACGTAATGTCGAACGCAAAAATTCAAAAATATTCTAGATCTATTTTTTCTCAATTTTGATTTATCTTTCACTGTGCATTTCAATTTTTCAGTCGGAATCGTAGCGATGAATATGATGCCGGTTCTTCCATTCAAAATGTGTTCGTTTTCCAGTTAAAATTATTATTGGTGATTTTTTTAAAATTAATTTGTGAATGCATTTTTATAATAATGAATATTTTACATGCTTAGACCGAGAGTCAAAATATTAATCGGCATTGTTAACGTGCTATTATGTAAACAAAATTACTAATAATGTTGCAAACATGTTGATTTTGAATTGTAACGAATTATAATAAAAAAATAGTTCCTTTTTCAAATATATATTACATTGCTAATCTGCACTTAAGTATATAGTGTTTTATTCATGAAAATGATAATAAATAAATAAATGATAATCGAAACAATTTATTTAACGAACAGTTCACAAAAACGTTTTATTTATTTAAACGAATGATAATATAATTAATTTTAATTATCGCCAAAGTACATGCAAGTATAAGTGCGTTTTGAGAAAATAAAATTATCAATTTAATTAAAAATGACATAGAATAAAATTACAAGTACGTTTCAAAACAATAATTTATTGCCAATATTTCCAAAAATGTTGTTTGTCTTTTTGTTGTTGTTTTCAACCTGCGATCGATCTGTTAAAGTGTTCGACAAATAGAATTTGGGAATGTGACGTGGCGACTGCACTGCCCTCTCACCATAACTTCTCCTTCTATCGTCGCTATACGAGCGATATATCGTATCACCAATTTAAGCTAAGCTTTTAGGCACATGTACTATTGACGCTCCCGACAAATGCGAGCTGCGAAGTTTTATTTGCGTTCTTCACAAATAAGGGGGAAAATGCTGGTGAATGGGGTGTAAAATTGAAAACAAAAGAAGAGGGATGCTGACTTCTAGAATTCTCTTTTTCATTCATGACACTTGAAGAGTTGGCTAGGAGGCTAATGCTTCCAGACCAATGACAAGTTTCACAGCAACGTTCAGGTTCATCTCACAACGTTCTTTGAAGAAGGGATTACCCAAAAGCTTATCCACAGTTATGACAAATGCAGAATGGTCACGTGGATAACGTAGAAAATTAACCAACGTGGTACCTTTGTTTTAGTTAGATTCATTTGTTTATTTTCGATTGTATTTTTTGTGATCCATTGAAGGTGGATTAAAATACTCACACCTGATGATTCGGTGTTGTAACGTGGCGACTAGATTGCGTGAGATAAAAAGTACATTCATTGCCAAGCGGATTGAGATTTTCTGATAAGTCACAGTCATAATCGAAATGTATAATTGTTAAAAGTACGATAAAATTGAGTAAAACTAGGTGCGCAATTAATTTGGAATTGGATTTCGATTGTTCTCTGAACAGCACAATATCCGGAATATTGGCTGCCAGTTCTCTGTATTGGATTAAAATACCGATTAAAATAGAACGCCGGGATTAGGATTTCATCAACAGCTTGTCATGCTCAAAGATTATTAATGCAATAGTGGATTGTTGTTCACAATTTATGTGATTATTCATCCCCAATATTTCAAGCTTCACAAAATTAAAAGATGATTAAGGCATGATGTATGATTTTTTAACGTTTCCTGCACCTGCCCCACAAAATTGTCACATTAATCTTTGACAAAATACGTGAGCACCGACGTTGCACTTCGCGAAACAAATAATTTGCAGGGAGGTTTTCGCCATTTCTTTCGGAAAGTTTCACCATACTTCCTTCTCAGTACGTCGAAGTAGAAATTCAAGTTTCGTTGATTTCATATTGCAAATACAAAGGAAAATACTGCCGCGCCGGATGGCCGAAATTGCCAAGGCAGTAGTGCTGAAGCCATCTCGGAACGAAGGATTGCAGGTTCGAGTCTCGCCTCGGCCATGGTTGTATTGTGTTCGTCCTTTCACCCCCTATCATCATTATATCGGGTCATTCTCACAGTTACCATACCGTTACACGCAATAGTGGTCGCTAATAATCTTGATGAAGTTGATGCGACTTTAAATAACAAAAGAAGGGAAAGTACTATATTAACCCCTGAACGAAGTTTCCCTCTGAATTCACAATTCTGGCGGACAACCCCAAACCGAGAGTCCGACACAACCAAGCGTCCCATTGGTATTCTTCCTGTGGCGCCCACCTC